TAAGCTCACTGGAGAAAGCTTGATTCATGTTTGTCTTGTTCAGCTGTATGTTCTTAAAGCCTAAGTTATTGCTTGGCTCAGACTAAGTGCTCACTGCCTGCCCTGATATTGAATGTGAGCTTTTAGAAGCCTGTGATAATATTGTAAAAGTCTGTGTCACTGATTTGTTTCCACTCTTTCCAACTTTGTGACCTAGATAAAAAGTTATATTAATTTATCAATTCAGTATATTACTTACTGAATGCTAGGTCTGAGGTAAGTTTTGAGGATAGATCCTAGGTGAGGCATTTGGCTGATTATAGTTGTATAATCAAGTTGTCACATGTTTGCTTGGATAATATTTTGCCAAGTGACCCATAGGGAGCAGAGAGAAAGGATGTGCAGGGTGGTAGTAGAGAGATATTTATGATTCCAGTGCAGAGTTTATGAGATGTAATCATGTATGCTGTTGATTTAAATAGTAAAGAATTGGAAACATCCTAAAAGTCTCTTGGTAGGGTATATTAGAATTTCTGTGAAATTGGCTTGATCTCAGTAGTTTGTTGGCTCTTGTCACGGGCACTGTTGAAATCAGCTTTCTTGAGATTCTTCACTCTCCCTCTCTTGGTTTTGGGTGTCTCTGGATTGACAATTTTCAGAAGGCTGTTCCCAAGTGAGCACCCAGATGCCAAGATAGTGAAAGTCATGGAGCAACTGTGAGTGTAGATCTTGTCAATTAAACCCATCCCTGAGCCTGGGTCAGATGGAGTCTTGTGGGTAATGTGCCTGTCCTTTGGAGTCATGGGGGCTGGGGAGAGACAAGAGGTAAGATGGGCATCAGTCCAAGCTCCTGCATGGAACAGGGTAGGTGGTTAGTTCCACAAAAATGCTAGCAGACCAGAATCCAGGGACATCTGATGGCAGGAGCTCCAGCATTGACTTATTGGGATGCTTTAACAAGCAGTGATGAAAAGTGGTTATTAACTTAGAGAGATCCCAAAGGCACATTGTATAACTGAAAAAAAAAAAAAAAAGTCCACAAAAGAGTAGGTAAGTGGGATCCAATTTTGATTTGAGATTAAAAAAATAATAATAACAGAAGCCTAGAAGAAAAGTGTGACAGTATTCTAGGTGGGAAGATGATAGGTGACATTTTCTTTCCTGTGTTTTGCTCTATTATCTATAAGTCTTATATACAGGGGATATATTTCTCCTTATAACCAGGAAAACCAATAAAACCATTTCTGTTTAGAGAAAAGTAAAGCTTATTTATTGCAAAAATCTCAATAAGAATTGATGAGATCAGAACAAAGAGAGGTGAAGAGGAGGAAAAGTGAATGGATTGTGATGAATTTTTGAGAAATTGACATTCTAGGACTTGGTGCTAGAATGCTGAGCAGGGAGCCCAGACTGGTCCTGGGGATTCTGCCCCGAGCAACCCAGTGGCCTTAGAATCCCCAGCTCTGTAGGGCCCACTGACAGACAACTTGATAAAAATATTTGCATTTAGAGATATTTAATACTTAAAGGTAGAAAAAACAGACTTTGAAGATTTATGCAGTTGAGAGAAGGGTCAATTTATATAACTTTATTAAAATTATATTTTAAAAGAGGGTATTATTAATGCTTGATATTTATAATGTACAACGCATGTACTCAGTAGTAAGACCCATGAGGGCAGAAATTCACCTTTATGTTGCCATCCATAAACTTAGCTTACTGCCTAGTTTATCTAAAGAGGTCACTGAAACATTAGTCATTGAGTGTGTTATTCAAACTAAACTAGTAGTAAGTAGTCCTTAAAAGAAGTCATCTTGTGATCTCAGGAAACTGAACTCATCAAACTGATTTGTAATTATTTGTAAATAGGTGCTTCCAAAGGGCTTAAAATAATGTTTTATTAATAAGAAAAAAATCCTAGGTTATTTTAAGATCATTATTCTAGGAAATCCTCTTCAGTTTTTAGCATGTTAAAAAAAAATCAGCTTGGTCCCACATATACATAGCTTGAATTGTCCAAGGAACTAAGGTAGTGAGTAATTTCTATTTCGTGTCTGCCATGTTTATTTTGGTGTACCAGAAAGCATTATTTTCCTTGATGCATGTTTACCACTTTAGTTCACAGAGCCCAGAAACTAAATTACTTGGATTACAAGGCAGTATGTTAGAATGCTTTAAGGAACTTGGACTCTACAACTGCCTGGTCAGATTCTGAATCCCAAAGTTGCCATTTCCTAGTGAGTAGATATGGGTAGTTTAAGTAACTGTCTTCTCAGAAAATATGTTAAAAAATTGTTAAGATAAAATGCAATAATCACTATGAGGCTCTTAGTATAGAATTTGGTACACAGTCAAAACTCAACCACTTTGTTCAAATCACATTTATCTTCTGGGACAGAGCTTTTCAAAAGTACAGGATTTCCTGTGTATTATTTTTGAGATTTTTTAGATTTACCTTGAGGTGTAAATACCTACTCTCCGAAAACCTAACACAGCTCAAATCAGTGCTCCCATCTTAAAGAAGAGTAAAAGGTAGAAGTGGGTCTAAGGTTAAACCGCCACCCAAATGAATTGTAGAGTGAACCAGCTTGTACTCATGGCTTTTGATTTATTATTAAAACTTCAGGAATGCTTGTGTGCAGGCCCAGGCTGTTACTGGGCAGGCGACATCCAGCTGCTGGTCAGCTCCTTGGAAGCAGTCCACACTGTGCCCTTAGTTACCGTGGACTCATGAATCCCCTGCAAAGTGACTGGAGCTGAGAAGCCAAGCAACCCCGAGTGTTTCCAATTCTAAGTCTGGAGCCACGTTCAGTGTCACCTGTTGGGTTCTGACCCATGTTCCTGCCATGTGGCTGTCTCATTTCCATTTGGAAGGACTACCTCTGTCACTCCTGAAATCCCACCTGTGGTCCTTTAACCGCATTGGTAGGTTGTCAGTCCCCATGTTGATGTCTCCAGAAGAGAGAGCAGAGTTGTAATTGTAATCGTGTTTAGATGAAAACTTAGAGGAGAGCTTGAGTGCATAATTTATTCCTCACACAGTGTCAGCATTGATTTAGTACCAAATTATAGGCATAATGCAGCACAAGTCCGCCAGTCTTCCCAAGATTTTTGAATACATCATTTACTTCCCCTGCCTCTCCTTGCTTAAGCTAAAGCTAAAGAAAGCTTTGACACAAAAAATAGATGTGTAAATTTTTTTCTTTGATGTGTAAGATTTGGAGGGGGGGAAGTTGATCATTTAATTTTGAGTATATCTTATTACAATATGAAATAAGACCTGGCAGGTGTTTTAGATGCTACAAGTTACTTCATTTTTTAAAAGAAATACCCACATAAGGAAAAGCTAACTAATTCTCAGAATCACATACCTAAAGCATAGTTTTCTGAAGATAGCATACATGATCTCAAGGTTTAAAGTGTCAGTTTCTCTTTCACCATTTTTACAGTTAAACAAAAGTTTTACAAAGGTATTTTAAATCACTTTATTGACATTATAATGCACACAGCCTTTCTTCCCTTCTCCCATACTCCTTCAAATCCTTTCCTAACCCTCACCCCCTTAAAAGGGAACAACAACAGCAAAAAAAACCCAGCCATTGCCTCTCATTGGCAGTAGAATTTATTCAGTAATTTACTTTCCAGCCAACTGCAGCCATTGCCATTGCCTCTGGGCACTTGTTCAAGAAACACAGAAATGAAATAACAGATTGGCCAGACCTAATGTAACTCCCCAGTCACAACCCTATTATCTCCTCGTGCTGTCACCCCCATTAGGCAAAGGCCTGGGGGACTAGATGGTGATAACGCAGTATTTATACAGCCCATTCATCTCTGCAGTTCCCTTCTTCCTCTTCTGAGTAGAGTGATGAGAATGAGTGCCCTGGGCTTCAGATTCCTAGGCCTTGCTACAGACACACCCCTTCCCATTTTAAAGTGTCTCTGTGCTGGCTGCTTGCCTGTGAAGGGCTCCAGAGCCCCAAGAAAATAAGAACAAGACAAAGGAACTAACTTTCTGCATTTGTTGACCACCTACCTGGTGAATGAATATGGTTGCAGCCACAGAGTGTGCATTTGACTGAATACTGAGTATCTTTCCATTTGAGTTGTTTATAACTCTTCTGATCAGGTCAGAGTCAAGCAGAGTAGTTGCTTCACATAACAGTGGGGCTCGTTTCCTGAAAAAACTGAGAAGTTCCTTTATTCATCAAGAGAGAATTGTTTTCTCATTGTTCCCTTCTGGTGAAATCCCTTTTATAATGACAGGCACTGGAGACAACTGTTTGAAGAAGGTGTGGCTTTATTTCCCCATGGTCAATGTTAAAGTAGAGGTGTTATAGAACTCCAGTGATGAAAGACATCCTGAGGAAAATGTCTCTCTCTTCCAGACCAGTCTATCCTGTGGACTGGACACTGTTCTTTATAGGGCTTGGCATCCCAACGAGCTTCTTAGTATTTTTATTGTGTTCATCTTTGTCTCCATTCGGTCCTTCACTTTAGTATTATCCCCTAACATGCAACTCTTTAATTAGTGTATAATTCTTTGAGGAGGGATTTGCTTAACTTTGCCCCCTATCACCCAATTGGATAGTGAGTACATTAGAATGTGTGGGACCCATCAACAGCATCTCTAACCCCTTCGGAAAATAATCCACTTAGCCTGGCTGCCTACATGTTTCTAGCCATTAATTGATAATACCCAAATGATAGCGTTTCAGTCAGGAGTCAGTGGCCTTGTGCTGAAGAAACAGGAGGAGGTGTACATCGCTTAATGCCTTTAGACAAGGGTATTTTCTGCTAAAAAGAGTAGAATCTGAATCAGATTAATACATCTTGGAGAGAATTACTCTTCTGAAGGTTTGTTGGGAGCACACAGTCCCTCACCCCTACCAGTTAAGAAAGCACAGGGTAAAACGAAAACATTTAATTGTGTATGAAATAGCTTGTGTTAAATGTGTATTTGTTGTTCTTTTTTGCTGATTTCAACAGTAATCACCCTGTTCTTTTCCTTTCCACATCAGCTCATACCCCAGACAACAGCTTTCTGGGATTTGTGGTTGAGCAGCACCTGAATTCCAGCGACATCCACCACATTAATGAAATCAAAAGGCAGAACCAGTCCCTTGTGTATGGCAAAGTGGATAGCTTCTGGAAGGTGAGTCAGTCTGTGTGTGTCTCTCTCTGGAAAGAGGCTTATTGGGTAATTTAATTTAACTTTGATCCAGGGAGTAATCAAGCCAAGTGCCCAGTGCTTAATGGGATCTGCTTAGAAGTAAACAAGAATATGCAAGGATTTGTTCGCTCAGCAGTTGGGTATCTAATAAAGGCTATACCTGCTCATCCATACAGTGGCTGTATAGCAAAGCCCTTCACTCTTTGCACGTTGGAAGTGACATGCTAGCAGCTTTTTTCCCCTTCGTGTGCTTGTCTCCACAGCCCTAGGGACCCATTACTAAGTGATTTTTTTTCCTCTGCCTTTTGGGAAATGGTGTGCAGGCAGCTCCCTTTGCCTGGGGAGTGTGGTGACCTTCACGTCCTCTGGAGGCTGCCTGCGGACAGTTTGCTTAGGGAGATCTTGGACAAAATAGCATACTTGGCCAGAGACTGAGTCATCTTTTCTAAAAGCATTGAACTGTTAGGGGTCCTTTGGCCCCTCTGAGATGTGTTCCATAGTGTATCTGGGAAGTTACTGCAGTGGAGGAACAAGATTGGGGTGTGTGCTGTTGGTACAAAGTACAAAGTTTTTATATGAAGAGCGCTTCATATGAAAATGTCAGCTTTTTATTTTTTTTAAGACGTTTTTGTAGCAGAACAGTCTCCTGGATTCTACAACATGCTTCTTCCTACACATACATTGGTTATTTTCCAAAGTGATCTGAAATTGTGGCCTCACGGTGTTGTGGTTCGCTTACTGAAGAACTTTAGAAACCCTGCAACTGAAGGGGCATGAGGGACAAAGATAAGGATTATCAATGGTGATTTTCTGACCCCATATTCAGGAAGGAGAAAGCGAACCTGTTTAGTTCACAGCCTATGTCTGGGAAGCAGATTGGTTACTGTCTTAGCTGTGAAAGCTAGAATTCAGACTCACCTTACAACAGTGTTTCTCAGTTGGGAGCATTTCTAGATACATTTGACAATGTCTGGAGACAATTTGGATCAGCGTGACTGAGGGAGGGGTGTCCACCATCTTGCAGGTGGAGATCAGGAGGCAGCAGCACACAGGACAGGTCCACAACAAGGAATTATCTGGCCCAAAATATCATTAGTGCCAAGGCTGAGAAATGGGAATGGCAAATAAGATTAAATAAGATGTAATCCCTATGCATAGTATTTCACATTTTCTCCTCTGAGGTGAAATAAAATCAGTCTCCATTATAAATGGTTATTTAAGATGGTCACATGAATTTATACATCTTTGCTTCCCTGTATCAAAATCTGCTCTCTGTTAACAGAGCATTTTTCTGCTTGCAGCTGAATTTGAGTTAAAAAGGTCATGCGGGGTGTTCATTCTTGCCTGGGTTGTGAAATAAAGGGATCATGGCCCTGTCTTTAGAAAGATGCAAGCCCTTTAAAAAAGTTCTCTTCTCCATGCACCTGTTGGAAGGAAATAATTTGCATGGCTATGGACTTGACCTTAAAATTATATCACTTCTGTTTTGGAAACAAGTGGAGCTTCCTTCTAGATGCCTGTGACAGTTTCCCTAGAAAAACAGTAATGAGTTGGTTGTGAAAGCCTTTGGGCATTTGTATATGTGTGGTGGGTAAAATAGTACTACCACTTAAAAGGATTTCTTTGTATTAGATCAGAATCCCAAAAGCATTAATCATGCTAGCTCAAGTGACTTAGGGTGTGATTTGGAAATCCTTCCAAATGTTAAGGTTTTAAAACACTGCAGATGACCTGATCCCCATATATTGTGTGTCACCCATGTGACATAGTACGTGGCAGTGTGTCTATATTAGTCTTTGAATAGCAAAAATCTGGGCCATTTTTTCAGTTCTGTCATTATTATTCATCATTCTTTGATGAATGTAGTTTTCATATAAATTCAGAGTATCTGGGCCCTCTCTGGTGGTGCAGTGAGTTAAAGCACAGCACTAAGAAGCTTAAGTCACTACAGCATGAGTTCGATCCCTGCCTGCCCTGGAGGAGATCCACATGGCGCGGCAGACCTCTCCTGACCCGCCTGCTGCTCCCCTCAGCAGTGTACTTCGTCGA